AGGATATGGCTATGGTAGTAGACGTGGAGGATATGGCTATGGTAGTACACTTGGAGAATATGGTGGATATGGTGGATATGGTGGATATGGTGGAGGATATCTGGGTTATGATCCAGCAATTAACATTTTAGTGCCTTGGACACCACAATTTGGTGCGGCTTATCAACAATTTCTTGGCTTGGGTGCAGGCCTTGGTGGACTTGGCGGTCTTGGCGGACTTGGTGGTCTAGGCGGACTTGGTCTTGGTGGGCTTGGTGGTCTTGGCGGTCTTGGCGGTCTTGGCGGTCTTGGCGGTCTTGGCGGTTATGGAGGATTAAGTGGCTATCCATTAGGATTTGGTGTTACCACCTATTAATCAAAGTTCCACTCATTTTATATTAACAACAACGCTTTAACGTCATTTTCGTTGTTTTTTAAGTGAAAAAAAGACACTTCTTTGCACAAGTTATGTAGTATTTCTTTTATTAATTATCTTATTTGCATGCTCATAACAATATTATAATAAAAGAATTTACATATGCTTTTATTTACAATTTTTTTTTAGTAAATCAAGTATTCAGTATCAAATATCTGCAACCACAAATTTTCTATTTAATATTTTATTTTTATTATTGCTATTAATAGGAATTTTTAAACAACTATTAATGACCAATGTAAAAAAAAATCTTACATACGAATTCTTTATTATTTAAAAGCAAAAATATCTCATAATCATATTTAGTTTCGTTGATTTTCTAAAAGATAACACTCGTAGACATCATAAAATGTCGTTGATAGTTATCTATTCATCATCAAAAGATTTTTTTCTTGCTTGTCATTTAAATAAGCATGACTGAATCAAATAATATATAGTGATATATTACCGATCATAGAAAAAAAACAACCAAGAGTGTATAAATATTCTATATGTCGTTTTTTTCTTGACAAAAATAAACATGTTCATCAATTATTGACATCAATATGCTTTGTTTTTTATATCATAATTATCATTCTTGAAATATTTTAAAGTACCTAATAATACATATATAATATTCAGATTTGTTTCGATTAATGTATTGTTTGTATTGATACAATATTCAAATTATATTTATAAATGATAATTCAATTATTAAATATGATCAATTTATTTACACAATTTGATCTATTAAAAAACTCAAAGAATTAAATATACAAAATAATAAAGAAAAAAAAGTAGATAATATTGACATAGATCAATAAAAAAAAAAAAAGATTCACATTAAATATTCTGTCTATTCGATATATGAAATTTTTATTTCATACTATCATTTGATTATATTTAAAAGTTTACTATAGATTAATCATGAGAAATAAAATTTAAAATTAAAGATATTCTTTTTTTGTTGCTTAATTTTGGTTTCTTTCAAAATTTAAAATAAATATATAAGAAAGAGAATAATCAATTCAAGCGATTTTAAAATTCAATCGGATACATGTAAAAATAGAAGTTTTGAAATAAAAACTTTCATTAACTTTATAAATGAACGTTGATAATTTGAACAATAGTATATCAAGGTCAATCTCGACGAGATGGCCGAGCGGTTAAGGCGTTAGACTGCTAATCTAATGGGCTCTGCCTGCGTGAGTTCGAATCTCACTCTCGTCGCCATTTTTTTTTTTACTTATATTGCTGCTTTAATGATGCATATCGCACACTATAAAGAAAACATTCTAGTCTTTTCTTTTTCTTGTTCTTTCTACATCATTGTTTTTTTTTATTTATGTAAAAAAAAAATTTTTCGCAAGATGTTTTTGAATTTTTCTTTCTATTGAATTCGGTATTTATTTTATCGGTAAATGGAAAGAAATACGAGTATTGGCTAAAGGACAAGAACGAAAATCAAATGTAAGATAAGAAAAACTTGAAGAGTGAACATTGACTTCTTCAGACTATGATTTATTTCTAGTACAGTTAAATTATTCTATATACAATTAAAATCATTCCCACTCAAAAGTTGATCTTGACTCAGGTGCATTGAAATCGTAGGAAATTTTCAGCCCGATACTATAATGTTTTTGAGAGATATTCAACGAACAATGATGAAAAATAGCTCAGTTAATAACCTAAAGTTTTTCATGGCCTTTTTATTCTATAAATTTGTTTAATTCTTTGTTTGAAAAAGCATAACAGTGACTTTCTCTTTTAAATTCTTATTTTATAAAGGATTAACAGATTAATTCCTCAAAAAAAATGACGGTCTAACCAAAAAACTCGTAACAAAACCTAATTCATAAAAGGAACTCTGTCATGCTTTTTCAAACAAAAAAAAAGTTGAATTTATAGAAAGAAATATCCTTCAAGACTTCTAAGATACACTATGAAAAAAAAACATAAATAGATACAAAGCGGAAAAGTTTTACTAAATTTTTTATCAAAAAACCATATATTGCAAACAATGAAATGCCAAATAAAAAGAAAATATATCGTTAAATGAAAGATAAAATCTTGAACTATCGTCAAATGGATTAATCTCAATATTGTCATGTTTAGAAAAGACTTCGTAAATCAATCATCTATCTCGAATACATTTCACTTCTCTCTAGAAATAAATTTTTCTATGATGACTTAATTTCTTTCTTCATGTATGTATAATTTTAAATTCTTCAAATATTTCACTTATAAATACAAAATAAAACAAAGTTTCTATATATTTTATCTTATTGAATATATTCTTCGAAAATATACGTCATAAAAAATAATGATTGTATAATTTCCATAATCAAAATATATATTTTATGATACGAAGCTATGATAACGAATATGAAATGATTCAAGACGCAAAATAAAAAAGAAATTGCAATTTTGAAAACTATTTTAATTTCTATATTATTAATATTAGAACACAACGACCGTGAATAATGGGTGAAAAAAATATCTTTCCTATTATAAATGTGATATTCAAAGGTATGCTGATTTAATGACTATGCTGATCAACAAAAAAAACAAAACTAAATATAAACTTGTCATTTATATTCTTGTCATGTCGTATTTAATATTTATTTTAACAAACAAAGATTATTACTTTAAAAATAGTACAAAATGTTATTGTTGTCATCTTATTAGCATTTTGTATTGTATTGGCAGTATCGACATGCGTTAGAGAAACTGAAATTTATTTTTATCATGAAATATTTAGTATGTTCTCTAATTCTTAAACTTCTTGAAATGTTTGTCATCTAATTTGAAATGAATTATAGACAGAACATTTTTGTTTTCAACTTAATTTTGTATATGATAAAAAATCAATGATTATATCAAATATTATCGTATCGATTGATACAAACTCAAGATTCGATAATAAGACAAATAATTATTTTATTAAACTATTCAATTTGTTTTTTTCTGTCGAAGCAATTAATGATAATAAAAATATTTTCTAATTAATCATTTAAAAGTATCTATTTGAATAACAACTATTCCGAAATAAATTGGAGAATGAATTTTTTCTTTTTATAATAAAAAACATCTGAAGTTTTAATTGAATAGCTATTGGATACATCGTTTTTTTTTATTTAATTGATGATTCCTCTGCGGTATACTCTCAATCATATCCTACTGTTTTATTTTATTACTCTCTGCTGCTCCTTATAAAACATAATGTAGCAATTTTTGAGAGAGACATGAAACGTTATTCTATTTAACTAACGTTTTTTTCAATTGACATATAATCATAGTACAAATTATGATACGAACATTCAATTTAATAAATACAAATAATAAGAAATCTAAAGATGTTGATTTTATGTTATCATCAATATTTTCAAAGAAGGTTAGTTATGAGATAAAATCAATCAGATCTTTACAACTACAATATTTTATATCTTAGATTCTTTTATTTTAATTTAGATATCATCATTTGAAAATTCAAATGAAGCATTACAATCGTATCATTATAGTTCAATTGTAATTGATAATTATCAAATAAGTCGAAATGTTCATTATATAAAACATTATAAAACAAATCGAACTAATGATCATATAACATCACTTAAGCGGCGAGTTCGACAAGTATTTCTTTTTTGTTGTTGTTGTTAATTTTATTGAAAATAATTGAATATTTAATTTTTATAGCAACAGTTAAGATATAATCAAAATCAACCAACAACTTTTCAAGAAACTAATGTCCATGTACCTTCATCTATCAATCTATTATTAATATCATATCCACAACAACCTGTGTCATCATGTCCTTATCGAATGAAAAAGACGAAATGTATAGTTCCGTTATCACCATTAATTAATAATAAGAGAGCAGTACGCACTCGTGTACATGGACATTAGGTTCAATCTTTATCAATATAATAGTCTTTAGTCTCAAGTTTTGAGTGAAATTTGGATTTTTTTCCTTTTTGGATGATTTTGTGCTCTTTTGGATTTTTTTGCTATTCAATAAAAACTACTAACCATGTATTAGGGTTATGGTTATATAGAGACTAAGGCTCACTACAATAAGCTATTAAAAAAATGGCGGTCACAACTCATTTTCTGCATCTATGACACAAGTCTTATTTTAATTTTTTTAATAATATTGGTGTTTTTCTGACTTAAATACTTACTTATACATAGTAACTATTGTTTGCCAATAGCGATCCAACTATTTGTTCTTAATTTAGATAGTTATAAAAGAATGATCACTAATGATGATGCTGAGTATGAAGAATATTAGTTGAGATGATCAGAAAAAGATATTAAACGTACTCATAGACGTTGCGGCAGTTTATTAACAATGATCTTTTGTTAAAAAAAACGTGACAAAAATGAAGATGTTAATATCAATACAGAAGTAGACGTTTATAGACAATAACTTTCATGAAAAATAAATGTTTAGAATAGTAGTACTGGATTTATCAGAGAACTGTTTTGACCGATAAATCGTTTTTGAATCGAGCTATGTGCGCATTATGTAGACCTAAATAGATTATGAATACTCTGAAAAGAGTTTATGTTCTTAGCTTATTGCTCCGGATATATTGCACTTTCACAGTATTTTTAAATGAATGTTGTAGTTTTCCTGAGAAACTCAAGGAAAATTGATTCTCGATTTTGAGTTGAAACATTGCATACGGACAGACCTTAATGAGAGTAGTTTATTATGAAAGTTTCAGGTTTTTTAATTTACGTCTATCTTAAAATAATAACATCAAATCTGCTGGTTGATATGAGTGATGTAAAAGACATGTTAATATCATAGATGTATTCTAGCATGGAAGGCCGTGCAAGAGTCTCAAGGTCAACTAATCTTGATAGTTTTGCTGCGTAATAACGAATAGTTTTCAATTATTGCGAGAATATACATCCTACTATCTTCTATTTTCGCAGCCTCTGCAATAGCTTTTAAAAAGGTTATGCATATCATCAGAGATTTTAACGTATTGAATAAATAACTAAACTTTAGAAATCATTAACAAACAGATCGTTCATTCTAATCTTAGTTTTTGTCAAGACCTCTCTCCATCAAATAAACCTGTTTGAGTTGTTGAGTCCTATGATAAATAATTCAATTGATATGGAACTTACAATAGACATTGCTATTAATCTTGCCAAGTCAATAGAAAAACAAAACTATGAATCGTCAATATTTTTTAGTGGTTTTATGAAAATCTTTGAATTAATCATAAATAAACTTGGTCACAATGTTATTCATCAATAACTTGTTCCGACGAGATGGCCGAGCGGTTAAGGCGTTAGACTGCTAATCTAATGGGCTCTGCCCGCGTGAGTTCGAATCTCACTCTCGTCGCCATTTTTTTTTCTGCACACCCATACACACCATACTTTTCTTTTTGTTCTGTACGCAAAGAGAATTACACAGTATTCTCAGTAATAGTCTTTCAAAGCACTACAACTACGTGTTTTTCGCTTGCGTTCTTTCATATTGAAATAGATTCTCAGTGGCAACATTTATTACGACTACTATATGTAATTATAATAGTAATAAAAGTCGAGTTTCAAACAAATACAAAAGCTAAGAATCAAATAAGATATATGTATTTTTTGATGACGTTTGTAAGAAATTTAATTCAATAAACGAGGGTAACGGATGGGTCAGAATAAATTAGACTGTTTGTATTTTGAATATTTCATTGCTACTCTCCATTAGATAGAAATTTCTTTTGTTATCAAAAGATGGTGCTTGAAATTTTCGATAAAAACCATATATGATTGGAACCAATAATTGTTTTCGATATATTTGAAAAGTAGACGAAAAATAAAGACACATAAACAGCTGCAAAAACTTAATATGAAAATAGTGATGGATCAGTGAAAAGTTATCATGATTTTGCTGAAGTAGTTTCAATATAAACCAATATATATGGATAATAATAAACAGCAACACTTGTTCTATTAATTTCTCACACCATCTCGACCTTCTATGCCCAGTCCGAATAAAAATGAATATCTAAAAAGTAAACTAGCACCTACTTTGCAAGAAACAGGTGTTAACAAGAAAACTGTCCGTTCAAACAAAGCTCGTACCGCTTCTATCGCATGAAGATCTTGGCTATTGTCCATTGCAGAAGTTAAATTTGACACGTGTTACCTCCCTAGAAAATAGTGTACAAGCCATTTGAATGCATTCATACCTAAGAATCATTTGTCACTGAATTTGCCTGATTTGTAGCTATTAGATTGTAATTCCTGAAACAGGTCTAATTGTATCAACTACATATCAGTCGAGAAGTGCAATAGATAGCATTCTTACTATGTGACGTCTTTTGTGTTCTGAATAGGCTAACCTTTGGAACGTATGATCTTGAGTCTTTGGAATCAAATAATATGTTCTGTTAAGTACAGTGACGCAGCCAGGGGGGGGATTATGGGGATCGATCCCCCCCCGAAAGACCGAAATGCCTGGAGGGGGGTACAGGCTAATTCGTTTTTGCTAGTCAAAAAATGCCTTTTTTCTATTGCGGTCCCCCCCCAAAAAAAATTTCTGGCTGCGTCACTGGTTAAGTATGAGAATGACATTATCTCCAAACAAAGCTTTCAAATAGATCGTCTGATGGGCTAGTATTTGATTACGGTTCAGGTAACTCGCTTCGAGAATATTCGGGACAAAATGATCTAGAAAGTTGTCTTGTACAAATGAACATGTTTCAACAGTTCTTTTTCTACGATCATCGATTTGAGATTTGTAGTTCATCAATATACCGATTTGATCATAAATTAGACTAGTACATAATTTCATCCAAAATATAGTTAATACGAATTCAGTCGAATAACATTATTTTTTTTTATCACACGCCGTTTATATCTTTTATGACTTGTCTACAACTGTATCTCATATAGAGTACGAAAGATAGTAATATATCACAACAATCAGCATTCAAATTTTTCTTATAGCATCTTTTTCGTATTGGCGTCTATAAGGATACGATTCATTTTGTCCTTCAACCGCTTGATAGAATACACAAAAAGAAAATGATAATTTAATCATATGAGCTCAAAAGATATTAGATCTTTCAAATATTATTTTGCTCCATTGAATAGTTGCTCTATAATTATTGGTTCTATGAAAATATTTTTAAACTGAACCTGCCCTACTCTGTACTACAGAAATCTTCTCATATTTTCTCAGGTAAAGTCTTTTTTTCCAACGAATTTAGTTTTTATGCTATCAATATCGATAAACAGCAAGTAGAAACGAACAAGATACTGTAAAATTTCTCAATGTGGATTGTATTGAAAATAGTTATACATGTGTTTAGGATATGATTATATCTGACTTAAAGATTTTTGCTCGAACAGCACCCTCACAATGCTGATACCTCTCCATCAAAATCAGTGACCACTTCGGTTCGGTTCCTATTGCATAAATTAGAAGATTGTGATTTTACTTTCTGGCACTGATCATAACTCTTAGCAATATTCGGCATGAGACCGGTCCGCGTGCTAGTCTGCTGCCTGTAAGTTTGCTGATTCTGAAATCAGTATATAGCTAGTCGACATTAACCATGTAATTCTTTTCGTTCTGCTATTTCATATAGCCAGAATGCTCTACATATATCAACATCAATATTTCTATCATAGGATAACAGGTTATGATATCGATAATCTTCAGTCTACCCTGTTAAGACAGGACAAAGTAGGTTACGAATGTCATGTTGGGCTCTAAAAGAGATGAGCAAGTCACTTTTTTCATATTGGATACGGTCTATGAGCAGATAAGTCAAATTAACTCAATTCAATAATGAACTACTCCAAAATTTTCAGGTCAAGCTAAGCAAAAATACCTTCACATTTGACTAAAAAATAATTCGTTCACTTAAGTGTACATCCATGCACATAGAGAAAAAAGCACTAGTTAGAGATGTGCATCGTGGCGACAGCATCAGGAACATGGGAGTTATTTCAAAAATATTATCACAGCAACAGCAACTTTTTTTTCAGATAGATTGTAAAATTGAATGAATTTGCATCTGATTTGAGTTTCTACAAGCCTAACAGTCAGAATCATGGTGAATCTGATATTATCAATCTAACTACACTAATTTAGCACAGTAACGGAGAAAATGTTCGAAGAGTTTCTCGAAAGTCATAGTGACAGTGACAGATTCTCAGCCGCAATGGACGCCTCTGGTAAGACTACATTCGATCATTATTTTTCTACAACTTCGTATCATTTGAAATGCATTGAATTTAATTCACTTTCTTTTGCGCAATCCTAATAATTTTGTCTTGTGACAAAAAAAACTGCTTAATATTTTAGTTGTTATTGAAAAGAAAACAAAAATCAAAATAGTTTGTTGAAATATTAATAACTCAATTCTCTAAACAGTAATGAAAAACATCATTTCAAAAGAATGATTATTTAAAGCTAAAAAGAAATGTATGATTCTGTTATTTATTGGTGAATGCCTATTTATTATATTATTTATGGAACTCTATCAATAAATATTTATCTTGATTGTTCACATGGAGAGTTATTAATTGCTGTTACTCGTGCCATTATGACAAGAATATCATCTGGTTTAATATAAAACCGTACAGCTCGAGTAACTAAATCATTTGCAGAACGTTTTAAAGAATGATTCTAAAACAATAGAAATAAATTTAATTATAAATAATAAATATTAATATCTACTTGAGAAAGAATCTTTTCGATGAGATAATTGGGAACATTATCAAAAAGACCATCAGTAGATAGAATAATAATATCATCTAATTCCAAATCGAATGTATCACAAATAGCATCATGACTTCTAAATAGGAAAAATAGTATTAATTTTTTTTTTTCTAAATATTCTTTATCATAATGTATGAAATTAATTGTTTTTAAACGCTTTGATTACAAGGATAAGAAAATAATAGAAAAATATTTTTCGTTTATAATAAGAATAAACAAGGTCAAAAGATAAGATTTTCTTTTTTTTTTAAATTTCTATATAAAATCTTCTAAACATAGAAAAAAAAACGTACGATATTTGTGTATAATTTATACCATGTCCTTTCAATGATGCGGTCCATGGATAAACATCTAATTGCCGTGGACAATCTCCATTCATTGCTTGTGATCGTGATCGATAAACAACACAACCTTGTCGTACAATAACATAACCTGAATCACCAATATTTACTGAATATAATCGACGTGTTCCACAATCAATACCAAGAATACATGCTGTTGCACTACCTTTTGTTTTTATATTTTATAACAAAATTAAATTTTAAGATTTAAGAAAAAATGAAAATCATACCAAAACAATTTTCTGTTTGAACACGATCAAATGCATGACATAAAAGACGTTTAGGTTGAGTTGTAGAATATCCTCCTGTATGAGCTAAATCTGAACAATTACGCATTAATGATTCAGAAAAAAGACGAGGATTATAGCCATACATTAGATTACCACCGGCACCATCAGAAATTCCTATAAAAAATTAATATGAATTTTTTTTTGTAATTATTAAATCTACCTAAAAAATTTCCTTGTTCTTTTTGTATTATAAATCCAGCATCATCACCAAAACATCCATCAATTAAAGAAAAATTCCTATATGGTACTGGTAATCGTGTATTCTTTTGCATACCACATGTAGCAACTTCAAGAGTAAGACTTTTATTACCATCAATAGATAATGATATTATCGGTTCTTCATGAATATGTTTTGTATATGGACGATGACGATGATGTCGATAATGATAATAAAATTGACTTATATCAGTACATGATTGAGAATTTCTTGTAGACACTTTATTTGAATTAATATCAATAGGCACATTTTCTTGATCATTTGATTCGACATTTTCTATGTTAACTAAAGGATGATTTTGTCCATGAATATAATTTTTAAGATTTCGAATATCAGTGGCAGATAGTCTAAGCATATTTTCATCAATGTTTTCTGAATTAATAATTTGAAAACTAATAGTAGTCATGATAAATACGTAACCGATTCAGGACAACCTTCGTATGATGATAATAGTCAACCTTCACATTAGTGATTCTATAATAATAATAATGTTTTCGTACTTGATCCACCATCAGTGTTTGATTATTACATATCTTTATATGGTTTGCTTGGTTGATTCATAAGAATAGATGAGGACAGAGAATGCAAAAGAATTGAATTATTCAACCGAAACATGATATAACTATTGTCTTGTTACTTTTTCATTTTTTTTTTATATATCACATATTATACAGAATATTCGACAAATGATATTATTTAACAAACCAAAAAAGTGAGCATACAATGAACTTCTTTTGCATAGGAAAAAAAACATAAATTTATTCAGAATTTATAGAAGTGATAAATTTTCAACGAAAAATACATATTTCTTTTATTGACAATTTTTCATTACAAAAAAAAAAAAGAAAAGGGAAACAAAAAGACAACTTTAAGATTTAACAGTATTTGACCAAATACAATTATCATGATGGCAACTCATCCACATAGATTGCTCGAAGAGTGTACATTTAATATTTAATAATCTAAAGCAAATTTTATTAAAACATTATGTTTTATTTTTTATAAAATAAATTTTTTACTTGTTTGATAATAATTTCTTATTAATTATTTGTATAATACATAAATGATTAGCAACTTTAAGTAATAATTTATTATTTAAAATTTCAATAAATGAATTTAAATCTGTATGTATAAATAATTTTGTTATTTGTTTACCATTAGAAACGTTATACATTCGTAAAAATCGATCATGACAAATAATAAAAAGATATTGTTCATATTCTTTATTATTATTATTATTATTACTTAAACATATTGCTTCACATTGACCAGCATCATCATCTAATTGAATAGTTCCACGTAATTTTTCTATTAAATCATATAATATCAAAGTTTTATTATCTGTAGATACAAGAACAAGTCGATTATTTTTTGATATTAAACGAGAAGCTTGTTCTAATTGTGTTATGGGTTCATTTTCTTTCCACCAAAGATATACATAGTTATCATCTGTAAGAAATATAAGATAATCTAATATAGAATATAATTGAATAATTTTTGTTGATTTTAATTGAATAAGTTGTAGAATTGTCATATTTTGATTTTTTAAATTGAATTTAATAAGAATTGTTGGATCATTTGATATAATATATAAACAATTATTAGATGTAATTGTACTTAAATGACAATCAATAGATAATTGAATAAGATTTTTTAAATTTAATGTATTAATATCTATTTGAAAAATTTGTTTTGTTTGTAAACAAATAAGAATAAATGATGATTGAAATGAATGTATTTGAAGTTTTTTATATTCAAATGAATTTGTTGTCCATAGTAATTTTGATGATTTTAAAGAATATATTGATAAAATATTTTTTTCATCAACAAATAAAACATGAGATGATGTTTTTGTAAAATAATAATTAGTTATTAAATTCATTGAAAGTTTTAAATCAAGAATATTATTATCATTTAATGTAAAGATTTTTAATGAACTAAAACAAAGAAAAAACACTATTTAATATTTAATTCTAGGACTATCAAGCTTATTTTTGGAGATAATATGATATCATGTATTTGTATTCTATAATTTTAATTGTTGAATTGGTATTTTTGCTCAAATTAGATTATTTTCCTCTTCAGTCTTGTAAAAAAAATTATTAGAACTATAGTTTTTCTTTATTTAGAATAGGTAATAAAAAAAAATTCGTTGAACAGACTGCTCATCACAAACAGGTTGGATGTGGGTGTGGTAGGAGTTATCCTCTTACATGATACCTACATTCTAGTCTCAATCTATGGCAAGCACTTGTTTTAATTAAGTTATACCGAGATATTTTCGTTAAATATCTGTTTCCTATAGTGAGATTCATTTGGATCCTGTTTGATAGTCCTAGGATTAAATAATAATAAATATTATTTTACATACTTATCATTGTCTTTAATTGTTAAGAATTGATCTGAATGTATACTTAGTATTTGACCAATTGTTTGAGATGGAACGAAAGATTTAGATGACATCCAATAAGTTAACATTGTTGCATTATATTTATAAATGTAATTACTATCCGAACAATACAAAGTAATACCATCGAACCAATCTTTTAAAAAATATAAAAAATATTTGTTAGTACAATTCCTATGTCATTAAAATATGAAGTACGACACAGTTGCTGTTACTAATCAAAGAGAGACTGATTTACTCTATGAACATAATTTTCTCGCTATCCTTTTACTATATACTATAATGAAACGTTATTCATATATAATCTATGATTATATTTTAATAACACTTGTTATGATCTGTGATGATCTTATCCTTATATTTCAATATTCTTTTTAGATTGTATTTTACGAAGTCTTTATATATATATATATATAGATATATTATTTTTCTGAAGAAAATTCACATACTTGCTCTAAATACACATTGATCGATAGATATATCAAGTTGAAGATGAGTTAATTGTCGATAAATATGAGTTTGTTGTTTTTTATCATAACACCATTCATAAATATCAATGATTTTTTTTGTTTGATTCATACAAAATAAAAAATGACTTTGATTTTCAAATTCTAGTGCTGTATAATGATCATGTACTAAATCATATTCAATTGAATTTTGTAATGATACTATTTGAAATGGTTTAAAAATATTTTCTTCATATAATGGATGAAATATCATAAGAGATGTTGATGTTAACCATGCAATTGAATTACTTTGTGAAAGATAAATAACAGATATAGGTAAAGAAATAAAATCAATATTATTAATAATTTTTGTTTTTAAATTATGATTATGATTATCATAAATAATTAATGAAATTTGTGAACAATTGAGTGAATAATAAAATTCACTATGACCATTAAGAAGTATATGATGATCATAATTATTAATATTTTCATTAATAATTCCAATTGAATTAAATTGAAAATCTTTATCAAGTATAAAATAAGAGATTATTGAATTTTTTTTTATAGTTACTTTTATAATTGAATTTTTAAAAGTACATTCTTCAATAATATTATTATCAGAAAAATTATATTTTGATATGAAAAGATTTTTTGAACAATTCCATAATTCTAATGAATTATTTGATGATGAAATAATAAGAATTATTTCATTATTAATGAATGAAATTAATTTCTTACATGAAATTTGCATAGATATTTCTTTATTTTGACAATTTATTACTATCATTGATGAATTTGATGAAAGACAACATACATATGGATATTTACATAAACATGAAATTAATTTTTCATTGACTTCAGTTTTTTTATATAATATATCAAAATAATTTACCATCAATAGACCATAATAATGATGACAAAATACATATAATTTATCATTATTAGTTAAAATAAATAAATAAATTGAATCGATTATTAAAGAAATAATATTTGATATTGGATATTTTGCTAAACATTGTTGTCGTTCTTCATTTGTTATTAATTGAAGTGGACAATGAATTAAACATTGTTCAAGTAAATTATATGT